CATTTTGAGGGGGGGTTTTCGGTGGATATATTAATTTTTTTTGGAGTTTTTTTTTTCGCTGCCGGGGGGTGTTTCTTTTTTTCCGTGGAGCCCGAGAGGTCGACATGATTCCCCCATTTCTTTGTGGGGGCCAAGAAACAACGGGGAAGGGGACAAAGGGGGGGCCCTTGGGTGGGGTGTCCCTTTTGGGGGCCCCGTTGGGGGGCCCCCCCCCCCCCCACTTGCGGTGAATGGGCAGCTTCAGCTCGCTCTCTTTGAAGCCTGACTGGCTCATTCGTGTGAGTCGGGTGTTGGGAATGTTACGTTGGGATTGCACGGGGGGGAAGGCCGTGAGCCTTGTACCCCCGACGCCGACTCGCCACTCCATGGTTGGATGGTATTAGTCCTTTTGAATGACGGCGGCGAGGGTTGATTTTACATGTGCTTTTGTGTGCAGTGCCTGTTACCTATTGACGCAGCAGGCGGCAGTAGAATATATGTCGTCCCCACCCCGTGTGCAATATTCCCCCCTTTGATGCATAGGCAGCTTGTTTCGTGTTGCGGGGTTTTCATGATGGGATCGGCACCCTTTTGATGTCTGCCAACAGCGCGCCGTTGCTTGTTTAGCCGATGACTGTTTGTTCGGTTTCTCAGTCCGGTGACTAGACTATACCTTCTGTCTCTGTCCAAAAACCAAAAAGTGCGCCTTGTTTTGTACCCCATTTCCTTGCGTCTTCTTGAGCTCCTTTCCCATATTGTTTTGTGTGTCGTCGTCAGTGTGGTGGTTGTTGTTGTCGTTGCCAGTAGTTTGTCTTCGCACAAGCCCTTGTGTTTTCTGTCGATCGGCGTGAGTACGTTTGGTGCGTGTGCGTGTTTGGTGTGGTGGACGTGGTATTTTTCGCGAGCAAGGTAGCAGCGGAGCGCAGCAACATTAGAGTACCCGGGGCTGCGTGGAATGGGGTGGCCAGTATTTTTTTTTTAACATTTATGGAGAGGCACAAACCATTGATTCGTTTTTTGTTGGGCTTTATATTGTTCTGCATTTTTGCACACGGCGGCGCCTAGTAGGCGGTGTAGGTGACATCCTGCAGTAAGTTTCAATCGCTTTTAGTCTCGTATTTTTTCTGAGTAGTAGTCGCGACGCCACACCGTCAAGAGACCCCAAATAGTCGGTTGCGGCTCTGTCGCTCCTCTTCTCTCCTTTCGCCGGTGTGGTGAGGTAGACATGCCGGTTATCAATTGTGTGTGTCTCTACGATTGGGCGGATGGGGCCGAAGGAAGACAAACTAACACCACTTCTCAGCGAGTGTAGATCGGCGTTTCGTTTAGAAGCCCTACAAAGTCTGGTTCGCGCGATAAAATAAATTTCCATCCCCCGCCTGTGAGTTGGATGTTGGGGGGGGGGGGGGGGGGATAGAGAAAGAAATGGGGGCTAATGTAGGTAAATTGTCTCCTTCCGTCGCGTTGTTCCTTGTCTGGCGGCGAAAAATACCATGCTCGATATTTGTTCCTGAGGGCATCGTCGACGTAGCAGGGGGGGAGAAAAATATAAAGGTTCATGTGCCAAAAAAAAGTCGTTCGTGTATAGGTACAAAAAATGGACGTCGTGGCGTAAACACATGTGTGGGTTGTTGTCTCCCGTGAGTTCTTGTGTGTCGATATTTTCCCGCAATGTCAATGTTGTTGCTGTGCGGGTTGTTGGGAACCTCTCGGAAAAGCTAACAGCTCTTGTTGGGCGGCAGGGAGCGTGGGAAATTTATTATCTACAGCAGTATCTGCGGAAGGATTGGTTAGGGATAGTGTGCGGTCCAAGAATATTCTGTTTTATCTTTTTGGTGGTCTCTTGTTGCTTGGGGCATCAAAAGGCTATAACTGGTTAGGCTTGTTTGTAATATTTCATCACGCGAGATTTGTCGTCTAGTTTCTCCAAGACTTTAGGCGGGCGCGGGCAGATTGGGTGGCTTCCCGTAATTTCCCGACATCACAAATGAGGACAAGGGCCGTCGCGCACAGGCCAAACGAGACGTACGATCTCCCTTCTGGCGTAGTGTGTTTGTGCGGTGGCAAGAAAAGCCGGTGTAAAGTGTTGTTGCTGTCGTGTCGGGGCTTCGTAGCTAGTTTGAAGATAAATCCAGGGTTGAGACCTCTCCCTCCTACTTCAGGCGCTGGTCGTTTCTTAGAAAAAGAGCGAACGGAAGGGGGGGGGGGGGCTCACGTCGTGTGTGGGGGCGAGGTCGTGTGCTGGATTGGTTGTTGTGTTGGTGGTTGTTCGCTGGGCCAGTGGCTGTGTTGTTGTCCCGTCGGGCCTTTGTTAGTGGTTGTCGTCGTTGTCGGTGCTGGAGCCTCAGCCCCGCAAGCTGTCTTACTTACGAAAATAGGATACAAAAACGTCGTGCCTTCGAGACGCTCGGCCGTAACAAGGTGATTTTCTTTTTTAAGTGTTATGGAAGCCCCACGCAGCCGAGGGCTTTCATGGCGGTAAAGTAAAGTTTGGGCGAAAAAATACAAAAACAAAAAAGCAGAGGAGCCGGATGTGGCGGGTAGCGACTTCTCGGCCTTTTTTTGGTCGCCTCCCCGCAAATTTTTGTCGTCGCCCATGTCTGGTATGATACGATAGCTGTTGATGGGTTTTGAAATCGGTAAGTGCACGAGGGACTTTCACGGGGCGGGGAAACTTCGGTGTGTATCTTCTTCGAGTCTGTTGAGACCGTTGACCAATCACGTACATGGGCGGCAAAACGAATTAAATGGTTGCGCCGCCGTCATTCACCGTACTCTACGTGTGCAGAACCATTTTTATGTGCGCTCCGAAGGATTAGCGTTGTGGTATATACCGGTCTATCTGTAATCTTGGGACACTGTTTTCGTGTGTAAGGGGGCAGCAACCGATTGGGGGAAACAATGCCGATGGATGAGGGTGCAGCAGCATATACAGACCATGTGCCGGAGAGGGTTTCTATACTTTTCGCGTCTTTTTTTTGTGTATGCATTTTTTTCTGCGATTTTTTCTCGTGGCTGCATGTTCAGAGCAACAGTACGTACGTAAGCAGTCGACTCTCGCTCCCCCTCGGTATCCGTCGTAAGGAAGCTGACTGATTGGTATCAATCTCGAGCAACCAAATTCGCACACGCGCCGGGCGTGTATATGGCCATCTTGGAAGATAGGTTGGTTTATTTCTCGCCGTATGCTGGTGTGTGTTTTTGTAGAGAGAGGCCCTTGTCGTAGTTTTATGGTGAGAAGAAGAGGATATCGACGCCGTCTGATGGACCATGCTAGTGAGGGAGGTGCAGCCAGCAATGTGCGGTTTGGTATTTCTAGTTAATATTTATTGGAGTGATCAACTGAATCTCCTTGTTTGTTTTTTTTTGCTGTGTCCCGCCCATGTTTAAACTGGCAGTGGCATGCACGGATGCATGCGTGTATGCGGGACAGGTGGGAATATGCAAGGTTTTTGAGTCGTAGCGGTGGATGGTGATGGTGGCGACGAGCAGAGTCGATCATGCTCAAAAGTCAACACACCGAGATATGGACTATGTCTTGCTGGTCTGTGAGCGGTGGAGGTATTAATGCGAGCCGCCGCGCGCATCGCTCGTTGCTGCCAACAACTAACTGCTGCTGTGGGATGCACGTGATGCGCGCAGGAAATCAATCGTGATGTGCCACGATTGCGGCATGCATCTCAAATTCAGCTGTGCTCCTCACTTGGAGTGAGTTCATTTGAGGGCCACTGCAAGCGGTACTACCCTCGGTGTTGCGCTTTTCGGCACCCTCCTAGCGTAAAGCGTGGAACATGACACGAAAATATTTTTTTAACAAGCTCGTCCATCACTAACAGGTGTTTTCTCGAGACCGAACCTATTATTGCTTCGATGTTCACGTGGGAATGCATAATATAAAACATTTCCAAGAAAAATTCGGCCCGCACGTCTGTGCCTGTCCAAAATAATACCGAAGAAATGGCCGCACATGCGTGTGCCTTTTCGGGGGTTCCTTCAGTTCTCAACTTTTGAGAACTTCCACTCCTTGTGGCGGGGGCTCAATTTCGCTTATACACGTGTAATCCTAGCAGCGCTCTGTGGTGGCGCCTGTAGGCACACTCAACCGAGCAGGCTGATTCCGGGCCGGGTATCGATGTCGGTTGCACACAAGCAAATACCGTTATGGCTGACCATCCTTGCACTGGACCGTAACGTTCGTTGCAGCAACAACGTCGAGCTTATTCTCCAGCCGATAATAACAAGATCATCCGTGACGTCGATAAATAACTCCACAAAAACGTCGAGTTTATTCTCCAGCGTATTGTAAGAAGATCATCCGCGACGTCGAAAAACAACCCCACAAACAAATAAACGCCGAGTATATTCTCGAGCACAATAAAAATGCCATTCTTGAGAGACTTCGACAATTGTACAGCTTCGCCGCGCTGCACCGGGCGGCGGTGACGTCCAACCCCTCAATGGCCGCGTTCTTCGCCTTTGTCCCGCGTTCTTTCCCCCTCCTTCCTGCTGGTGGTGGTGGTGGTTAGTTTGTACTTGTGTGTGTACCGGGTTTTGAGACCCGGCCCCGTCCTCCCTCTGCCCTTCCCTCTTTTTCGATTCCACGGCCGCCGCCTCCGCCACCTCCACCGCCGCCACCCCCTCGACTAACACGTTCTCCTCCTGCTAAATTTCGACGAAAGTTTGTTCCCGCAAGCAGTGCAGCCTTCGAAGCGCGGCTACTACTTCTACTCTTCCCACTGTTGACTGCTCTGACACCGCCAACACTACGACCACCGTCACCACCATCATCATCACTCCGCCAAGGAAACGTACCGCCAGGGCCAACAACACGAGCTCCCGGTATTAGTGTGTCCCCCGCCGTAACATTTTCGGGCCCTCCTCTCCGATTAGAGAGCTGTCTTGTTGCGGCTGCTTGCGCCACCGGCGGCGGAGCAGGCTCATTCGCTTCCGTCGCCAGGCCGACAGCATCTCCTCCTGCGGCAGAAGAAGCGGCGGCGGTGGGCGTAACAGCAGAAGTATTCGCCCTCCTTCCCGGTAGGGGCATGGCCAACAACAACGGCGATAGTAGTGTCGGCGTCCTCGAAGAGCGAGCCGCGCCGAACCGTACTCCTTGTACCAGCCGCGGTCGTGGTGTGGCTGTGCTACCGCTACCAACGTGTAGTTGCAGTCTTTGCCCTTCCATGAGGCGGTCGTCCCTAAGCTCGTCGTCGGTGAAGGCGGCTGCCGCGCCGCCGGAAGGGGCGGCATGCCGCACGTGGCGCTCGGGAATGCCTGCCACAGTACAGACACATGTTGTGTGCTCTTTGTTTGCGGGTCGAATTCGATGTTGGAGCACACTGACCAAAAGCTGTGTTGTCGGAAGTAGAGTAGACTACTACTACTGTATCATAGTTGAAGTGTCTTCAAGATTTCTCACTACGAGGCGTAACCGCTTATTCACGGATTACGCCCCTTGGTGATCGCCGACTTCTTACTCCCAATGGAGAGAAAGATGGAGGAGTGGTGCTTCTCGTCAATGACCAACTCGATGGATACGTTGGTACTAAAACACGGAAAAGCCGGTATCTCTCGCTGTCGTGGGGAGGAGACAGGCAAATGCAAGTCATCGATCGCAAGAAGGCGAGATAGATTTATCAACCAACCACAATATCATGACATGAAAAAATGCGTTATGTCTCACCGAAGAGAGAAGACGGCCGGCTCTGTATTTTGGACATATCCACGTCCAACGGAGGTACGGCTGCGGAGCCCCTCCAGCGGGAAAGCTTGGCCCTCGCCGCCTCCACCCTGTAAAAGAATAAAAGCACACACGAAACGAAGCAATAGTTTGTATCTCTTGTTGAGTGAACGGGCGAGTGCGGGTGCTTCACTAGGCAGGCTGGATGATTTCCCTCACGGCGTTTTTTCGCGTATCGAAAATGACGGAGCAAGCTGGAGCACAGCGTGGATCGATATTCAGCTGTTGCGGACAGTTGGCGGGGCATCAATGGACCCGGAAAGGTGTGTTCAATTCATCCATCATCCGACATCCATGAAGAATGTACCGGTAGTTATTGCGAATTCTCTGTTTGCTTGTTTCCCAGCTCCAAGTGTCGAGGGAACGGATGTTAAGAAACATTACGACCGTCAGGGGGGGGAGAGAGACATTTAAACACAGACAGCCAAGAAACACGTCGTTTCTGCCGCTTTCATAGCTTAAGCGGGGGCTTGCTCCTTTACAGTTGCTCCCGTGGTGTAGCTCCTTCTGCTCCGAGTAATGTCAAACAACGCAGGTACTCGCTATTCTTCAGGGAACAGGTCCGGCTGTGCGTGGAACTCTCCTGCCCACCTGTCAAAAGCATGACTCAAAGCGAGACTTATCACTTATTTTTCCTCATAATTTCGGCGGGATGATCCTTCAGCGTGTGAGATGGCCTTGTCCGCCTCTTACCCGACGAGATCCAGCCGCGGTGACCCCTCTCCTTCTTCCACCGTCGCCTCCGCGAGGCCCCCAGCGAGGGTTTCCAGGAAACGTGGCGTTGTCGAGCCTCGGCGCCACTCCGCCGCTTGACTCGGCCGGGTCGCCAGGAACGACCACCTCGGGGACAGGATCAACTCGTCCCCTGTGGTTCGATTGGGTTTGGTTGGGCAATAAGGCACCACGGGTGTGATTGTTTACGGTAGTTGGCGTCGTTTCGATTCAGCACCGGCATACAGACCCGACGTTCAACAGAACTGGCTGTCTTGTGTCTTTTGGACACGGTTCGTCTTCAGTGCCTCGGATTGATTTGGTCGGCTGTTGGTTTGGCTCCGTGTGGGTGTCATCCGCCGTTCTTTTCGAAATATCGGGATCTAGAAACATGGGAGCCATGTTTGCCTCTCCTTTTTTTTAGGTGTAGCACGTGCTTTGTTCGAAAAAAATCGTGTTCGGATCGCCGGGCGTGGTGCCTTATGGCTGACACCCCCCAAACCGGGGCAATCTTGTTTTTATTACGATGGAGAATGGCCGAGGGGCTCTATTCACTAATCCTGAAGATCGGCAATATATTGTGTGGTGGTAGCCTCCTTTCGCACCTTCTTGTGCAGCAGGACTCCCCAAACCTCGCCCACCGTCTCCGTCTGCCGATCCCCCCTTGCCCGTGCCCTGTCGCATGTCAGCGGTGCCCCCGACCGCTCGTGGCCTCGTCAAGGCCATCCCGGGTTCGGTGTCGTAGTCGGCGTCGCGGTAGGTCAGCTCCAGGGGGGGCGGGATCAAGCTGTCGCCGAAATCGTTGCCGTCCTCCTGGAGGCGTTCTTGCTGCCCTTGCTGCTTTTCGATGTCGACCAGCGTTACCAGACGTGGCCTGCGGCACGAACGGAGCCCGGAGTGATTCGGCACCAGGCGGCGAGGTGGGAGTCTAGAGAGACCGGAGGGTGCTGGGAATGGTTGTTCGGAAGCTACTGGTAGTAGTGCGTTCCTTGCTCTTGTGCTGTCCGGGAGCGGCACACCGTTCTTTTTCCTTCCATACTCGAGGAATTCATCGCTTCTAACGCTCCATTTGTAGGAGCCAACATCAAAACCATTGGACTAGTCAGCGCTGACTGGTCTATTAATTTGATTTTGGCTTCTACAGGTCCTGCTTTCCAGTTCGCGACTGCCTTGATTCCACGAAGAAAACCGAAAATAGAACTTCTCGGCCGCACGATGCTTGCCGTAACCTTTTCCTTCAGCCATGTTTGAGCTAGCAGGGCACACATGCATCTACATGCCCTAGGAGAGACAAGTGTGTAAATATCATTCGGCTCTCATTTTGGACAGGAAATCCCCCGTGCTCGGTTGGTTGGTTTGCGTTGATGTGGAGCATCGTTCTTGAGCTATCAAAGCCTGTCTGGTTGGGAATTGTTCACCCGTGCATCTGCTTCGGAGGTGTCAAAGTGACGGGACGGACGTCGACGTCTTAGATGGTCAGGGGCGACTTCTTCAAGGAAGGACTTGAACAGGTCCGTTAGAATTCCGAACGGACAACAACGACAACACCAGCAAACTCTCTCCGGATGTACGGGGCTACGTTCCCAACACCGCGCGGTTAACACCCAAAGGACACAGATCGCACAGCCCGCGCCCCCCGCCATTTCCTTTTTTGTCGTCCCTCTCTTCTCCTTTCATTCACTGCCCTTCGTTTCCTTTTGCCCACCCATGCAGCAGAAGAAGAAAACCAGTGATTCACGCCACTTGAGTACGTACACTGCAAGGCTTGTCGAGTTCCATGATCTGTCTCTCCTCGCCCAAAATCCTTTACGGGTGTCCGCGCTGGGTTAGGGGGTCTGGGCTAATAAATGCTTCCTTCCTTGTACTCTTGGTTGCCACCGGCAAATAGATGTAGTCCGCCGTACCAGTTCTCGAGGTAACCACTTGATTGAACGCTTCAAGAAGTATTTCTTGTTTCGTACATTTGCAGCACGGGTCTGACGGGCGCCACGTAAGACCGAATGATTAAAAAAAGCCTCTTCGTGGTCGCCCTCGAGCAACACAGCGTTCCATGTTACTGTATATTTTTCCGCCACAAAGTTTGGCAACCCGGTCCAAATCGTGTTTGGTTCTACTACTATATTGCAGGCGTGGTCCATCTTAAGCACCGCGTCCTTCCAAGTTATCCGAAAACAAGCGACCCCCTCCTCTCCCGCCGCTTCCCCCTTACCTTCTTCGGCGATCGGCCCGCTCAACCGGACCGTCACCGTAGCATCCGCCGCCCTCGTCCTCCTCGCCCCCCGACCCCCACACCTCCCGTCGCTCGCGTTCGTCGAGATCGTCCGCAGCCTGCCACTCCCGCCACCCCAACTGCTTGTCGAACGCCGGGGCGGCGGTGGGTTTTCTTCGAACCGCTCCGTGGTCGGGGTTGAGGAGCAAGACGTCCCCGTCGTCGTTGCGGGTGTTTTCGCGCGTCGTCCGTCTTCCCCCTCCTTCTCCCTGTCCTTCGGACCACCTTAGAAGGTTGGTTATTGTTGTTGTTGTTGTTGGTGGTGGTGGTGGTGGTGGTGGTGGCTGTGGGGTTGTGGTTACGGTGTGTTGTCCTTGTTGTTGTTGTTGTTGTTGTTGTTGATGGTAGTGGTGGTGGTGGTGGCTGTGGTTGTGTTTACGGTGTGTTGTCCTTGTTGTTGTGGTTGTTGTTGTTGTTGTGGTTGCTCATGTTGCTAGTAATACGGATTTGCGATCGTCCCTGTATCTCGTCTCAAACTTTCCTCGAGAGTAATAATAAAAACTGTTGCGGCAGACACCAGGCAACTATTTAGCGCCTCAACAGCGCTAACTGTTCCCACTGGTCAAAAAACACCGGACGCGATTGCGATTGTGACACACCCAACCATGAGCGCCACGGAACACGAAAGGGGCGCTATGAACAACCACCCACCTGGGAACCTGTTTGTCCAGATTCACGGCCACCTTAGGACGGACGTCTGCGGGATCCCGGGGGCTTAGCACCAGCACGTCGCCCTCTGCAGCCACTGCCACGCCAAAGCCGAAGCCGTTGGCAACGCCTGGTGACAGCCCCCCCGCCGCCGTTGGGGTGATGCTTCCGTCGCCTCCGCCGCGGCCGGCCTGGGTTGGAAAGATAGCCCAGAGGAAAGGGAACCGTGTACAAGAATGTAGTGGGTAATGATAGCCCGGATTGTAACCGTGTACTAGTTCATAGTAAGGACTGTCGACGCCTGTGCTCGATTCTGCCTGGGTTCGTCTCGAAGGCTGCCCCACTCGAACGCGAGGCGAGGCTGGCAGGCTCTCTCCCTCTTTGAAACACACATCTTGCCAGTGCTGTATGACCAGGCGACAGCCGTACACTAGTGCATGCGCGTCGAGCGTGGCACTCGCATAGTAAAGTGGCCAAGACAGATGACATCAGTGACCTCCCCAAGAGACTGGACCCGAAAATATCAACACGAAACTGTAGGGGAAGGCCGGGAGGGAGTCTCGCATGTTTGCGCCCAACTTCCAAGCGTCTCTAGGGCACCATGATAGCGGACGGAGAACAAGTAGGTGTGTCAGTGTGGGAGAGAGGTGATGTGTCTTTCTTAGCAGACGGTGGGACAAACCCCCTACACTCCCGTATTAATAATACGTACACGAAAACAATCGCATCAGCTCCTTTCGAAGATGTTGCATCCGAGTAGTTTTCGCGCGTTGGCATATAACACATACGGTAACTTGCTTGTTCTATCCGGAGATGATATGATATTGTCCAAGTCCGTCGTTGGTGTGGAGCCATCCCTAGCTTGGAACTCCCCCGGGGGTGTTCGCCTGGCTGGTACATACAAACTCGATAGTCAGGAGCACGACGGTTCCATTTTCACGAGTCAAAACAACGTCAACCAACACCAAAACACACGTATTCCTTATTGGTACCCTGATAGATTGTTGAAGGAGCACGGGTTTCGCAAAATAATGCGGGTGTTAAGAGTGAGGGCCGCGTCCATACCCTGGTGCAGGGTGTACCCGTCCGTGGATTCACATGTGTGTGGGGTCTGCCGTGGAAGGACCAGCGGCGATTCTGTATCTTCGCTCGCGACAAGGCAGGGGCTTGGAAACGTATCAAGCTTCAGCTTTTGGTTGGACGTCGTGTTTGCCTCCGCCCCCAATTTTCGTTCAACAACGGCACTCGCCACCGTTTGGTGTTCAAGATATGTTCTCTTGCTCACTTATCGCTATCCCTTGCCGTCCCCCCCAAACTAAACTGAGCTTCAGACGAAGATCCAGGGTCCGCACCTGGGTTTCGAAACGGAGGTACCGGTGGCCCTTGTCCCTGCGGGGCCCCACAACATCTCTCCCCGCTTCGGGCTTAATGTCCAATACCTCCCCGTCCCATTTCGCACCTGCTATTCAATCGATCAAGGTTAAGGTTCCCGCGAGGAGCAGGCGACACATTACACAAGGTTGTCGCAACGACCATGCTGCATGCAGGAAGTTGCTGCCACCAAGCGACTTGGTGTCCAGTGCCTGAGAGGAACGCCCGGGGCTCTACGTTTCTGAGATCTGATTAATGATGATAAAACGAAATCGGGGTCTTTGAGGTTTTGTCGATCACGCCCACGCTCTTTGCTGCGGTGGCAGACTCTCGTCGTCGTGTGCTTGATACAAAATGAACGCGTCGCGGTGTGTGTGTGTGCACGTTGTAAAGTCTCCCGGCGAGGGTTGGATTCTTGGTGCAAGAAGAATACATGTGATACAGGGGGGGGATGCATGCTACAGATTTCGTTGAGCATCGTGTGCCGTGTGCCGTGTACACCAGGATGGCCTTCGACGCAGAACAATACCCTCAAAGGTTGCCGCCTCTCTTTCCTGTTGTGGTGTGTTCCCGCCTTTGATGTCCCGTCTGTCTTGCGCCCCGACTCCTCAAGCCAGAGACAGAGGCGGACACGCAGCAGACGCACCTTCTTTTTCGCTCGTCCACCGGGGGGCGTACGAGAGAACCCCTCCCGGGACATGCCTCCTTCCGCGGGTGGTGACGTCATCCGGGACGTCCAGTACCAAAACGCCTCCTTCTTCCCCCTGCCAACGCGACGGGTTCGTTTGGTGGATCATCGGTAAATTTGGAGTGCGTGCGCAAGTACCGAGGGAGGAAAGTAGAACTGTCCGTGTTGAGCTTGTTCCCCACAGGGGAAATACCGCCATTTGCTGCTCGGGGAACCGTAGAAGCATAGGGTCGGACATCTACCATGCCCATGAGTTTCATTTGCTGATTGGTCCCGGACTCTTACCTGTGGATAGAGAAAGATGAACGTGTTTTGTCTTTGTAAAACATGAAAAAGTAGGATTGATTGCGTTTCTTTTTTGTCGTTGGCATCAACGTCAGCGCGCGGGCGTGTTCGCAGAGGGTAGGATAGCGGAGCCAACGTCACCACTGTCACCATGTAAACACAAATCCATTAGCCACTGTGGTGCAGGGACTAGAATGGGAGGGGTGGGCAAGAGTTACCAGTCAATTATTAGGGGTTATGCCTGTCTGTCGCGCCCACTGACGGCCTAGTCTGACAATTACTCCCCCCCCCAGGTATTCCCCCCGCCTCGGTTCGGTGTTTGCCATCGGGGTTGGGTTTTCGTCGCTTGGCAACGACGTTGTAAAACAAGCCCCCCCCTCGGTGTTTGCTATCGGGATTGAGTTTTCGTCGCTTGGCAATGACGTTGTAAAACAAGCCGATTCACTTCGTGACCTCGACAACCAGGTTACCGCTCATTTTTTTGCCTCTGTTTTATTTTATTTTTCGTTAACCATGAATGGTGGTCGAGTAGATCATGTTGTGCGGGGTCGGGAACCCTCACTCCGCGCAAGGGGAATAATCGTACCACGTTGTGTTAAAATGATTTAGCATCCTCGAGGCAGATACACGGTGCTTACAACTGTCTCTGGAAGTGAAAGCACCAGAAAATAAATTAAGTCATACGCAGCTGTCATCCGTACGCAAGGAAGTAAGCACAAGATGCCGAACACCCTTAGCAGGATGCAGCGCACCCTTCATGCGACTCGCCGAATGCCTCACGGCGCTTCGCGCTTCGTGATGTGAGAGCCTGGTCCGGTGAGAACACGGCGTGCTCCGTCCCGGCTTCGTAGGGATGCGAGGTCAATGGTCTAACGACTACGGCATGCACGACTATGAGTACTCCCCCCCCCACCCCCCCAGGTATTCCTATATATTTTTTCCTTTCTCCCGACCCCATACCTCGTCTTCCCGATCCATCTCCGCGGCCACCTCCGGCCTCTCTCCCCTGGGCCCGACCGCCTCTTTCCTCGCCACGCCTACGGCCATGACTGGCACGGGGGCGTCACCGAGCCGGCCGGTTCGGGTCGTTCTCGCCAAGTCTTCCGTTTCGTACCTGGGTGTGTTTTTTTCCGACACGATGGTAACGGTGGTGATCATAAGATAGGAGGTACCACCCACGTACGTACGGACGCATAAGACGCCAACCATCAGAGTAAGGTGGGAGAGTTATCGATAGCCTATGCTTGGGGGATCAGTACTTTTCAAAGGTCACGGATGGTTGATTGCCTGTTTTTTCGAGCTGCTGATTGAGCGAGTTCGTTTGAAACCGAACAGCAGTAATCTAGCCTGTGTAGTACAGGTTAGCGAGCGCGCGAGAATCGACTCTGTGGTAGAGGTGACCCTACTCACTCGGAAGAACTTGAAAGCTCACAGGCCTTCCAGGAACAGAGGTACTCGATATAAGGGGCTTACGCCGCTACGCTTGGGAGCACTCGAGATCGAAGAATCCAATCTTCTACATTTATTTTACGTTGGATGGAATCTGTCCATGTAGTGTTAGCAGACATACATGTGCATGCATTGTGTTGGCGTTCGTGGCCGGTGGCAGGTCGTTTTCCTGCGCCTCTGGACATGTGATAGTTTGGCGGTTTGATTCTTTGCTGTGGTACTGGGACTGGGGTCGTGACCTCTGTTGCCGGTCGGATCGACACGCAGTGCAAAGGTAGGTGGGTGGAGGGTATTCAGTTTTGTTTCCCATGACGACGACAACCACAACAACTAAAACGGCAGTGGTAGCAACAACAACGATGACAACGGCAACAACAGAAGCAGCAGCAGCAGCAGCAGCAGCAGCAGCGGCTGCAACAACCACAACGACAACAAAAACGGCGATGATGACGACGGCAACAGTGGCAGCAGAAACATCACACCCACAGCAGCGCGAAGACGATAATAGGCAGTCTCAACAGCTAGTTTACCTCCCGGGGCCCATGGCATCTACAGGCCGCAACGCCCGATCGAACGGCTTGACCTTTGCCTCGCCCTTCCTCTTCACCTCGACCTGGTTCCAAAAAGGAGAAAAAAACAGAGAGAGAGACGATAGGGCCAACAACAATCGTGAAGAATGGATACATGATCGAAATAGCACAGAAACAAGTGATAAACAGAGAGCTGTGACTAACCTTTGGCTGGTTGACGTACAAGGCTTACGGTGGGAGACAGTTGTCGCCCAACTATTTCCGTGAGTTATCGTCGTGGTCAGTCAACGCAAAATATATTCCTTGGGGACCCAGTTGCCGCCCAACAATTGCCGCGCATACCGTGGTGGATGGTTAACGTGGCAAAATTTGATTGCGTATCATCCAGGCCGTCTGCCTACCTATAATTATGCCCTGATATTTTCCCTTTGTTCTCCAAGCAGCCCAACGACTGCCCAGTGAGACAGAACCCTTTTGTTCCTCGCAGCAGGTACTTCACTGACTGACGTGTGTCTCAGGACTAGTTGGTTTCAGAATGTTTTCTAAGCTTTTTAATAATACTATCCACGCCACTTCTTGTCCCCACGGAAGCTTGTTCGTATAGGGACCTGATACATTCCAACTGCCTACGTAACTTAGGGCCACATCACGGAGCCCCCTCCCACCTTCTCCCTCCCCGTAGTCCTGCCGAAATCGCCCCCTCCATCGCTGCCGCCGCCCCCCCGTGGGGTTTCCACCCATTTCTGGTGGATGTTGACCTCCATCCAGTCGTGCCGCTTGCGTTCGCGGGCCTCCCGCTCCGCCCGCTGACGCGCCGCCGGGACCGGGAGAGGCGTTTCTTCCACATACCTGGGATTGGTTTGTTGGATACGTTTTATTACCCGCACGGGTCGTTGATTTGTTGGCTGAGGGGACAGAGTACTTTGTTGCGGGGGGGGTGAGGGCGGAGTTGTATGAGAGAACGGAATGTATTGCCATGGGGAGTGAGGAGCGAGTTGTATCAGAGCGACGTACTTCGCCTGAGAGAACTTGCTGTGTCGCCATGGTTGGCGATGGAGGTGGACGTACTACTTCGACGGGGGATGAGGTGATGCCGTATCGTGTGCCGTGGGCGTAGGGGGAAAGGCGCTGCTTTCTCGTACCTGGGTAGTAGTGGGCGTTGTCGTTACCAACAACAGGTTTAGGTCGGTGGGGGAGACAGACGCAAGAGATAATATTGTTCTGCAGTGAGGGGGTGGGGTGCAGCTACTGGAGCTCTCTCTTGCGGCACACGCGCTGCAAAACCACCAAGTCAGGGTCGGGTCTGCAACATGTGATCCGGGGCTGGTCACGGGAAGTCCACCCTCGCTGGGGCTACATTTCCCAACGCTTGCGAAAGTCCCACATTCTGTATAGAGGTCGGAGGAAGCATCGGTGAAGTAAAATGACCTTGAGATGGTTAACCGGGACCGTACTCGTCCGATCGGTTTTGGGGTCTTCGACAAATACCAACAGAGCCCGAGCCAACCGAGCCCGGGCCAACTGAACCCGGGAAGCTACGAGATGTGCAACACAACAGAGTGTGCCGAATAGCACAGCAGCAGCAACAGCTCCTCCTGGAATATGTTTGCGATTGCGCGGACGCTTGGTTGTTGACCTCCCGCTGTTTGGCGACGCTCCAAGGTGGCTGGAACAAGAGAGGAACGAGACCTCGGAGGCGAAAAAAAGAAAACGGTTCCAACCGTACCTGAACCCTGGGGTCCTCCTTCGGGTAGGGTCGTCCACGCTCCGCCCCCTCGCCTCCCCGCCCCTCGATACGCCGTCTTCGCGGGTTTCCATGTCCTCACACTCCGAAACCCAGGCCCGGTGCAGCAGACCGGCGCCCATGCGCTTCTTTGTTTAGGTGCGGAGATAATGAAGATTATCGACAAACCGGGCAAGCGGAAGCCAATCTGTTAGGAAGACTGGATCCTGACAGGGTTGATGTGGATCACAAGCTAAGCTGTGCGAAACGATTATGGGCACCTGGTGCAGCTTAGGGTTAGGGTTAGGGTAAGGGTTAGGGTTAACCGTGCAACGGCGGGTCTCGTGAGCGGAACGGGAGCGTGGATGTGGTAATGATTCTTGCCACATTCACACTCTTCCGGTGACGAGAAGGATGCCACCATCGGCGCAGCACCACCTCCAGCGCAAGAATTCGGGTGCTGTAGCCTGGGGGCATGCAGTAGGAATGGTAGGAAGATGGCGCATCCCGGCACATCACGAGCACCGTGTGGTAGTTTGACGTGGGAACCCCCCCCCCTCCGCCCAGCTTAACCGGACTTGTTCTTCCAGGAACTACCTTGGACTACACAATTCTTCTTGGACATAAGGCTGAAACCCGGGGGAAAACATCGCCTACTTTCATCTCGTGGCATCTGATGGGCACGCCACCCTTTTACTGTTCCACATTTCTAACTGTATTCGACGACGTGACCATCCCCGCCATCTGTCAGTGCTTTTCCACCCAGCGCCACACAGGGAGGATGCGAGAACATCAAGCAAACCCCTTGAGTCGCACTTCTGTGTAACACTTACTCGACAGCACCACCTACCTGCACTTTGGCTTGACGCAGGCTTGTCCTGTGCCGCTCTCTCGCCATTGCTTCGGCCTGAGCGGCGAAGTTCACAGCAGATGGCACTCTCTCTTCCGTTAGCGATCGACGCACGTCGTAGTACCCGACGTTCCTGCACCAGGCAAACGTTTTCCGGTGGGCGCGCGCAAGATGATTCTAGCTACAAATACACAACGAGCGGATCTGCGCCTTGCTTCTGTCATCCCAGAGTTTGCTTGAATAATCCTACGTCGGAACTAGGAACAAGTTTACAAGGAAACCGTGATTCATAGGGGTTCCTTGGGCATACGCCAGGCGTTTAGACTGATGTTGTGAAGAGGTGTGGATCACCCCCTCATCTAACCCTGAACCGAATTCCCCTAAACCGTTCTCCTGACAGTCGTGAGAGAAGCAGGCATACCGGAAACGCCTACCCACGATAATATCGCTGGGAGGTTTGGGTCCCTTCCATGTTATAATATGGGCGCCCTTCAACGGATTTTCTACGGCGGGGGCTGCGGGGGGCGCAGACGATTAACACTTGACACATGCCCCACCCCGCCCAAGCTCGCTACTTTTATTCCTCTGTAGTGGTCGGCACTCCTCTCTCCGCACCTGCCTTCGTGGCTATCGGTCTACCTATATGTATGTCTGTCGGTCTACCTATATGTCTGTCTGTCTGTCTTTCTGCCTGCATGTGCCTGTCTGGCTGCCTCTCTCTCTCTCTCGAACCCCTCCCCCCGACTATTCTCGCTCTGTGCTCCTCTCTGTCAGACACGCGGACCAGGCATACCTCTCCCGCTCCCGCTGAAGCCTGGCGCGTTCCACCGCCGCTCTGTTCTTGTCCCCGACCCCCTTCCTCTCCAGCGGGGCGAACCTCCCCCCGGGGACCCTCCTCGACACGGTGAGGAACCCTCTCCACACTCCGTCTATCTCTTCCTCCTCCCACTGACCGTCCCCGCTGCTATAACTGCTGCTGGAGCCCTCGCTGCTGCTGTAGTCTCTGCACGATGACGACGACGACGACCGCGACGGCTCGGTCGCCCCGTCCTCGCGCCGGGCTCCGCGGCGTCTTCCAGGCCCTCCGTTTTCCGAATTTCGACCGCCTGTACGGGGTCTCCGCCGCCACCGCCGCCGCCACCGGCTGCTACCGCCGAAGGTGGAAGAGGAGGAATCGGACTCCAACCCTCTATCCCGTCGGTGCTGGTAATGGCGGCGGCGGCCTTCGCCGTCGAAGCGGGCTCGACCGCCGTGCCGTCGTGGTGAAGAAGAGGGGGAAGAGGACAGGAAAGAGACCGAAGATCCGCTTTCGGAGGTTTCGAACGCGCTCTGCCGGCTCCGCTCTTGTCCAGGCAAACACCTCCTTCGCCGCCGCCGCCGCCGCCGCCGCCGTTCTGTATTTCGCCGCTCCTGTCGCCGCCGCGTCGTAGATGAGCGGATGTAACGGGCGCGCGGTGGGAGGTTGCGCTTGCGGCGAGAGCGCGAGGATGATGACCCTGAACAGCACGAACTGCTACCACCACCGCTACTGCCGTGGCGGCGGCTCTCCGAGTGATAGATGCCGTTGCCTCTGTCTCTTGGAGGCCTCGGGACGTTGTCTTCCGCCCAAGCCAGCCGCCGCGGCTCCCTTACACCGGAGCGGCTTCTGTCCTCTCGCTGCGTTCTGTTCGACCCGCTAGTGTTTCGTTTCTTCCCCGAACCGCAGCTGCTCCGGCCTCCCCAGCGGAAACCCCGGAGCGGGCGGGAGGATCTCCCTCCTTCTCGCTCCCTCGATGGACGGCGGGAACCGCTTCGAAGACGACCCTTGCTGCCGCTCTGTCTCCGGGGACTGTGGGGGTCGCGACGACGGCGGGGCTCGTCATCCCAACGCCGCCGCCGCCGGCGGGTGTCGCTGCCGCTCATTTCCTTCTCCTCGCCCCCCTTGCACTCCTCTCGCGATGGGGACGAGGACGACCGGCGGTGGCCTTCCGCGGAGTACCTGGCACCCGCTGTACGTGCTGCCTTGCTGTCTGCCCGTGCCGTACTCCCGTACACCCGTCGCCACGTGATGCCGTCGCCGTGGCTCCGGTTTCGGCTACGACTTCGTCCACGACTTCGTCCTCGATTTCGTCCGCGACTTCGGCTGACGCGTCTTCTCCCGACGCGCCTTTTCTTCGTCCCGCTACAACTCTTGGTCTGATTTCGATCAGCGATTTCTGCAACCAACATCGCGCTCCGGGCTTGCCGCGGTGGCGGCGGCGAGGGGTGCATCTGAATGACCCCGACCACTCGGCGGGTGCGAGTGATGTGCTCCGCCCTTACGCGAGAGAAACAACCACCCGGCGCGGCGATGCGGCGGGAGGGGGATACACGTTGGCCATGGAACAGCTTTTGTGAAGGTGAAGCCATGCATGTACACATTTGACACGCGAATAATCTGTGCCAGGTCGCGGCAACATCGCAACAATCGACGGCAGAAAAAAAACGACGCTATCGTGGTAATATTTTTTCACCAATATCTACCAAGTACAACCTTTTCCTCGCTGGAAAACACTCAAAGTATGGAACTATATCCCAAGTATGATCCGTACCTACCCACCTTTGGATTTCATACTCCCCGGGCCCCCCGCGGCACGCCTCCTTTACTTTGCGGGTCTCTACCACCACGCGCGCTTTTTCCTTCAAGGCTATCCTGCAAGCAGATACCACACGGAACGGAGGTTGTGCACGAACGACGAGGATGAGAACGGTACGCCCAACGACAGCAACCACAATAGGTTCAGCAACAAAGACAAAAACTGCTGTTGTCTTGTTGTTACAATGTACCGCATAACTGCTATCCCCGAGACATGGACCGCGTTCCCGCCGCCCACATGTCCGTTTGGCACGGTGGACGTGTTCGGCTCATGCTGCCGAGCGAGTCACATCAGCGTTCCCGGGGAAAAAACGATCCGTCAACCAAACACCACGTGATACACCCGCCGGAAAACAATGTAAGACGTCGCCGAACCCATCAGCACGTTAATCCTATTGTCAGATGTCGGCCAGCAATAAGTACCTCTTTGGAGCGACCAACGGCCCCTTGCGCCCCGCTCCTCCCCACCCGTCGCCAGCGCCCCCTCGCACGTGGTACTCCCCGGGGCCCGGGGAACCACCCTCCCTCTCCAGTCCGCGGGGCCCCGCCGGCCTCTTCCGGGCCTGGTGTGTGTGAGGCCGTGGGAAGACGACCGCACGCACCTTTGACCGGTGCGAGAGAAACTCGTCGCCGGCAACGATCGAGTCCGACCCGGCGGCCGCCGCCGCCACCGCCGCCACCGTACGTGAAGGCACCGGCTGAGGCTGCGGCAGATCCTGCTGGGTCATTGTCGCCGCCGCTCCCGTGACGCAAGCTGCTGGCTCGCCGGACGAGAGCAACGGCGACGCAGTCGTCGCCCTCTCTGGTTGCTTGCTCGCGGAGGCGACTGCCTCGTCCTCCGGCTGCTGCCATGCGGGCAGGACCGGCGGTTTCTCGTGGGCACTATCGTCTTCCTCGGTCTGCGCGGCCGCCGCTGGCTCCCTCGGCGCCGTCGTCGCCTTCCCCGCCGGTGTCCCTCCGAGGCTTCCCGTGACCGTCTCCGCTTCCCCGTCGGAAACCGCCGCGGGAACTCCCGCAGCCCCCGCAGCCCCTGCGGCCTGGATCTCCTCTCCTCCTTCCTCGGGGACCGCCCCCTCTCCGGGACCCCCGACCTCCCATAGCGCCGTCTGTCGCCCCTTCTGGCTTGCCTCGGTGGAATCGCCGCCGTCTCGGGTGGTCGCGCACGGCGAGCGACCGCCGCTTCCTCCTACGAACACCGTGCTGCAGGGGGCCCGCGAGCGCCTTTCGGCGATGGCTATCACTGCCGTGGCTGTTGACTCCGCTCTCGCCACCGTGGGGTCGCGCGCCCGGCGAGAAAACTGAAAACCTTTGACCCGTGGGCGGGTGATCGCCTCGGTGGAGCTTGTGAGGTGCGAGCGGGGGGGTGGGGAGTCGGGGTTGTTCGGGGAAGCTTGTCATGACAGGGTTTTCGTATAGATATATCGTGACTATACTGAGCCTGGAAACTAGCCTCTCCGCCCCTCTGCGGAATGTCGTTCTCTCTCCCTCCCTCTCCCTCTCTCTCTCTCTCTGTCTTATCAAATCTTTCCGTGGTGTTGGGGGCGTTAAGCCTCTGCGACCGAATTGGTGAGGCTGCCGACGAAACCAGAGGGGGAGCTTAAAGCACTCTTGCTTGCTGAGGAGAACACTACCCCAGCCGCAATCGAACATCTCAACTGCGATGGTGGGCCTGGTCTGTCACCCTGTACCCACACACGACGTTTCAACCCGATATTCAAGTAAGTGTAAGCATGCAGACTACATAGGTATCTCGTGCGCGCGCCAAAGTGTTTCACACCTCGTGTCGTATGAACGAGGCCCACTGATGTCCTTGACACTCCCAGAACCAGCATCGGCGGCCCGAGTACTACCACCGGTGGGCTGTCCAAGCAAAGGGTAGCGCGCTGCCGTGCCGAAGTGAATTTTCCTCGGCCCCGCCCCGCTTTCCGACGTGGCAAGAAACGCACGTTTCACGTCGTCAGCGGCAAGGGCGGCAACCCGGGCACCGTTGTCGGCCCCGTTCATACCAGGTTCTGCGGCCGGTAGAAGCACCACCTCCTGCCCTTGCCCCTGTCCCTTCGATCGGGCCGGTATACCCGTTACTCTCCGTCTGTCCGTGATCTTGTCGTTGCCCTTCTCCGTCGCAATCGAGGAGAGTTCTGTGTCGACAACGGTGGAGGTGTGGCAGGCACACGGGCACGCGAACCAGCAAGAAGCCGCACAGCAGCTCTTGCGGCGCACTTCCCCCGTGAAATCGTCATCATCGGGGTCATCGCCGACGACCGCAACGGCAGCTGTTCCATCGCTAGCACCGCTGTCGTGACGGTCTGCACTGCTACGCCCCTCGGCGCTGCAGCCGTTGTCGCCATCTACGCCGGTGGACGCGATGGAGTCTGCCTTGCCGACAGCGGTGGTAGAGGTGAAGTTACCCGCACGACAGTCATTGAAGGAGCAGTGGTTCTCCTCTGTCTTCCGTTTCCCGGCGCCACCATCCGTTGCCCTGTTAGACAGCCCCACACACGCCCCCCCCTCCTCCTCCTCCCCCCTCCTCCTCCTCCTTCTCCTCATGCTCCTCGTCCATAGGGACCAGGCATTGTTCTGACACGGGGCTTTCTTGTACCGAAACCTCCGCCGCCGCCGTCTCGGTTTCCCCCACTTCCCCTCCACCCCCCTCCCCCGACATCGCCGAATGACCAACCGCGGAACAGCCAGAGGCGTTTGCGACGTTCTCTTCGACCCCGTCAACCTCCACCACTGTGGTAGAAAGGTGGCAACGGCACAAACACTCGAACCAGCACTGGTTGCCGGCAGCGCGGAAGTGGCCAAACATCGGGTATGGCATTCGGGGAGAAAATGCAAACGAGGTTGGCCCTTGGTGTGGTTTCTTTCAGTATTTCTAGTTTTTGCAAGAGCGACGGCTTTTCTTCCGACTCTGCACAGGCTTATAGAAAATTCGCGAGTGGCTCTACTCAATTGGTAACCGCATTCCAGTTGAAACTCACCTCATTTCGGCAATGTCGGCATGGCCGTAGTGCCGTTACGCCGTCGCTACCCTCCGCCTTGGCTTCCTGCCGGCCATTCGGACCTTGGCCCGTCACCCCGCCTCTCGCCATCCCCGCCTCGCTCGTACCACCGATACTACCGTCACGATCACCGTGTAGGCCTTGCCTTCTACTCTTCTCCCCTGCCTGAGATGCGCTATTCCTCGCTCTGCCTGGGCGGGTTCGGCCCTTCGGGAGGGAGCTCAAAGGCGGGCCGATGCTGAACCCAGGCACGCGTTTTCGAGTGGGAAACGTCGGGCCCCTCTCGTTGCCGGCCTTGGAGAGCGGCATGGAAGCATCGCCGTACGGCCCCAGTGTTTGCCCGGCATTTGACGCTAGAGGCGTGGAGGTGTTCGAGGGTCCAGGAAGCCAGTCGACGCGCTTCTGCTTTCGCAAACGTTGCAAGACGGGGTTGGAGTCTGTGCCTACGGTTTGGAGGCTGCTCGTACTTGGTGATGTTCATTTTTCTAAAATTCCCCTTTAGCGCAACGGTTTTCACGTTCGTGTGGCAAATGCCCTCCCCAGATTGTATATGTTGCCGCCTTTCACCCGCAATGTACGACGGTACCTGCGAGACCTGCGCGCTTTCGATTCACGACACGTTCGCTGGTGAGCGTATGTTGGTGCTGTCTACGAGCGGACACGGAGGTTGCCGAGTGTGCTCACCATGTGGCTCAAGGACCAGGCAGCCCCGGGCACTCTCCTGAGCGACGACGGCTCTTCCACCTTCCGCAGACGCTTCGAGACCATGGTAACATCCTTTGTCTCTTCCACATTGGCCCCCTGCGGGGCTTTCTTTCCCCTCTCGCCTTGACGCCCAGTAGCAGCGGAGGCATCGTGTGGAATGTTGTGCTGCGGTGCTGACCCCTGCCCAAGCAACGCTCTCAGAGTACCTTGGGCGCCTTGGAGAATCGATTCCAGAGACGTGATCTGTGCGGGCGTAGCGGGCGTTCGGCATCCACAAGGGCCTAGGGTGGTATGTCTTTACACGAAACAAGGAGAAGAACGTGTGCTCTGAAACTCGTTCTATCGGCAGAGGGAGCCTTCCACTGTTTGACGCCCTCGCTCGTCCAGATGGTTGGAGAGAGATCGCCTGATCTATTTTGGACGGGACGGGCTGCACATCATATGTAACTGTTTTGTAAGACTGTACCAGCACGCAAAGTGATGGTGGTGGGGGTTACCGTAACAAACCCGCAGTACAGGCTGCAGCAGCATAGATCCCACCGACGGGAATGAATCGGGTCAGTAGTACGGCATTCCAAGAAATTGTGCACATTGATACTCGGCAAGTGGCTTTGGAATGTCGGCCATCGTGATTACCACCTCCAGTAGCTCCAGCTTCACCGTCGCCGTGAACTTTACAAGGATAGCCATCTGGACCCTCCATCAAAGATAAGTTGGGAATCGAAAGACGCAAGGCTTGTGGGCAAGGATTCGCGTGCATAGCATGCGGAGTGGATCACATCAGCTGCTACAGTTTTATGGAAGCATCCACGCTGACCCGCCCACCAAAGATGACCTCGTGCTATCCAAACGAGCTATGCGCCACACACGCTGTGCTTAATCCACTGAAGCGCCCTGTCTGGAAGGCGTGTAGACTACTGCTGTAGACTACCGCAATGGCATGCATACTGTAGACAACATACTGCTGTAGGTCTTGGGTCTAAAACAAATTGGACAGGTTATCACCTCGAGCGACACCAGTTCATTGCTGTCTATGTCGATGCTGTCGGTGGAAGAACAAGAGGCGTTGTCCATATAGGCGCCTGGTGTGAAGCCTGTGTAGCTGGTTGGCACCTTGCTACAATGTATTGCTCGGCAGCAGACGAGATCAAGATATACCGGACGCCGGACGCATTTCGCTGTTCCGCCGCCAATGACGTGTACAGTCAGCAGTTCCCCCGCATTCAACCGTTGGATCCTCCGCATTTGGAGAGGAGTTTTGAGAGCAGCAAAAGACACACTAGGGAGCATCCACAGAGACAACTGGATGGCGAAAAACAGGCTTGAAGAACACCCCTTAGACCACAGGGAACAATCCGAGTTTTTCTGTCTTGAGGTGCGAGAACCGTCCCAGCGTCCCACCCTGTTGTCTCCTCTTGCAAGTACGATGAGAGATTTTGCACAAGGGCAAGATACAGTAGACTGTACAAGGTAGATAGACAATGCATGCTGTATGCATCAGTATGGAGTGTGCCTGATGATCCGAACCTAGTCGAGCTGTTCAGGTCAGCCTTGATAATAGGGACCACGAGCCTGCTGTAGATTTGATCTTGACGTTAGAGAGAGTGTAGTTGTAGATCTTCGTTTTTGCCGAACGCCACCGTAGAGCCTGTGAGGACAGGGGTGCGCAGTACAGAGTTAACGGCAAGGTATCCGTAGTGCCACATATTTTGGCATCCACTCGTGCAAATGTATGCTAGTTGCAAAGTTTCCCCCTATGCCCACCGCCTTTCTCTGTGTCACCTCAGGTGTACGTGGCTGATGTGGAATCATGTTCGTTCGCGCACACAAGCGTTACCCCAACCGTGATCCTGTCTCTCCTCGACTTCGAGCCTTTGGTGTTCGATCTATCTCGTACTCCGCCAGCACAACGACAAGCACGCGGAAAGCGAGGACCCGGGTTACGAGAGGTGTCGCAATGGGAGGAAAAGGACGACCAGCACAACGGCATTGGAAGGGTCGAATCCACGAACAACACCTTTCGAGCATCCAGCGACGGCGCTCAGCACGATGATCACCTCTTCAACAACAGAAAATCGAAGACAACAGCCACGACAACAGTGAAGCACGCAAGCTACGCCGACAACGAGAACGGCCCGTGCCATCCGAAGCCGTTCTTCTGCAGCAAAGGGAAGTCTTGCATTTTCACGGCGAACCCCGCAGACCTGTCCCGGGCCCTCCAGACCCAAAGCGCACTCACGTTCCTGGTTGCATCGAAGCTATCCCTGCGCCAGGTCGGTATTCAGAGGTACCTTGTACACATTGTCGGTGACTATCTCTTAGCTTGCTTTGGGGGCCTCGCGTCTCACATGGGTCGCTGCTTTTCACCTTGCATAACCCTTCCTTTTGACAGGCACGATATGACAATCGTAGCATTTTGCGCGGAACTACGTGATGCAACAGGCGTTGCCGTGCGCAGGCGTATGACGCACCAGTACATCACGGCCTCTTGCTAGAGAGAGTGCACTACAGGCACCATCACCACGTCATCTGCTTTGCTGACCACGCTGCGATTTCCTTCCCTTTTCCTTTCGATGCTAAGCCAGTAGAACTCCACTCCCTGCTTGACCAATCCTTGGTCTCACCAGGCTGCAATACACGGGTCGTGCGCCATCGATCTGTCCACCTTCGGCCCGAACGCCGAGCTCTCTCACTCCCTTCCCCGGGCCGTGTCATGTTGGGGGCACCGTACGACTTGGTGAGCGGTCGTTTCTTGGGACACAGGGGGGCTAGAGGAAGGTGGCATTTTAGATTAGGTTCCTCTTGGTTGTTGTTTGGTGCCACCTTGGTCTTTCGTAGCCTTGACCAAAGCCTGCACGTGCTACATTTTCCCTTCTCCTTCAGGCCGTCCACCTGAAAAGTGGTATTTATGCTAGAGTCCCGGAAACTTCGTCCCTCCGAACTGGACTTTCAACCAGATATTTTTCGAGTTTTTTTTTCTGCGCCCTTCCCCTGGGTGTGCTCGATCCACTGTTCTCGAGAAAACACGACGACCCTTCTCTCAACTCGTCCTCGGTCGACGTCGAACAGCGTGGAATCGAAGGACCTGAAGGGCGCTACGGTGGCCAGGGCCGGCCTCACCGTTTCTCTCTCCTGCTTGGGGGCAACGGGGTCTTTGATTCACCTCACTCCGGTAAGGACGGGGGTGGCTTCGTATCGGGCTTCCGGCAACGGAAGTCCCTCCGCCGCCGCTCCCCCTCGCCCCGACCACTCTACTCCTGACCGGTCGACGCCAGGCGGACTCCCGGTGGTTTCCGACCAGTGGACAACAGAGGGTACACAGCTCGATGCCCAAGCCCGTGGTCACGCTCCCGTGGCGAAACAGCCGGGAACCGACCATCTAATGTGCAGGCACGCTGAGGCGGGGTCCGCTCGTTACGGGGATGGAAGAACAAAAGAGAGTGGGTCCGGAGCTGGCGGAACGTCGGCCGGTGCAGAGTGTTGGACCTGCGAGTACAACCCCCGAGATGGACGCCTCGTAGGACCCACGTCTTCGGCCGCGGCAGCCGTCGAGCCCACCGCGGCCGCAACAGTAGCAGGCAGGGACGTTTCTGACGCCGACCTGGGTCCCAAGCGCGGTGGCGCCGTCTCTCCCGGCGACCCCTGCCCTGCGGTGGAGGAAGAAACCGGCGCTGCTGCCGCTGTTGGTGGTCCGCCCGGCGATTCCGCAGGCGCCGAAGCGGACGGCAACGACGACGCGGAGACGGACACCGAGACGTCGCCGGTAAGACTGTCGGTGGCCGCGAGTGTCTCGAAGAACGACTGGCTGGGATCGCCCGGGGGCGACAGCAGGCTGCAAGAGACACCGCTGCAAACAGAGGGTTGCTGCAGTCTGGATGAGAGCGGGGGCGGGGGGAAGAAGCCAGATGAAATTGCGGCGACAGAGGAGGAGGGAGGAGCCGGCGCGGGGCAAGGCAGGAACAAGGCAGCCCGAAACTTTCCTGGTGCGGGCGCCCGTGTATGTTGTATGCCATGTGTGCCATTGCTTCTGGTTGCATTGAGCTTGTCCGTACTGTACAACAGCAAGAAGGTCGGGTTCACCAGATCGCCGACGAGAAAGCCCATAGTCCCAGCGGTGTGAGCATGGATGTGGGTTAGAGAAGGCGCTGGACCCTTCAGGGGTCACCGAATCATCCATTTAGAATTTGTCTACTAGATAGTGCTGGAATACTTGGCACTACCGTAGCTACAGTATTAGGTGGTCAGCTTGAGTTCAAATATTGTCAATATCACGATGTCATGCCGTAGAAAATACTTTTTTCGACGACAATCTACAACACCTCTTCGAGAACCGATACGGGACAATCGTCACCACCCACAAGCCTACATCCCCTAGAGATAGCTGTGCAGCGAAAGCTTCCGAAGGAGATGCAGTAGTGACAAGGGAAGAAGAAGGAGAACAGGCAACCAGCCGAGCGCCAAACTTCCTCTTGGCAAGGGTGACGCTCTACAAATGACCTCTGACCGCTAATAGCTGCTAATCGGGTTATCCACACCAACGTTTCCGTGCCAAGTCCGTTCTTGTCGCCCTCTCAATGCTTCGCGTGCTGTTGCTGGTGCTGCTGCTGGTGCTGCTGCTGGTGCTGCTGCTGCTGTGTGCAACACCTCGTCTCTCTGAAGGCAACAACCGCCTCGTTACTTCCTGGAGACCCGGGGCGGTGCCTTCACACCACGAGGAGGGGATCGTCTTCGACCGGAGGGCAGCCGCCGTTCCCTCGGCAACATCAGCGGCGCCCGGCCGAGGTGGGCCCCGCAACGCTACGAGAAGATCGACAAAATCGGCCACCGCGACTGCCCGACAGAATGAGTGTGGCTACTGGCTGCGGCGGAGAGGAGCGCGAGCAAGGGCGAGCAAGGATGGCTGCTGCAAGCCATCCGCGCGGGCAACGACGACGGCAACAGCAGAAGCACCGCTTCAAGGGGGACGGGGGGGGAAGACAGCCCGGAGGGCTTGGGGCGCCGGACCAGGCGTGGCCGTGAGCGCTACCGCCACCGCAGTTTCGGGGTCCGGTGGCATTTCGCGTACGAGAGCATCTCAGGAAGGGCGGGGCAGGGGCAACGAGGCGAGGCATTCCGAGCGGGGGAGACTCGCCCGTGAGCCGAGGCCCTGGTCTGCTGTTCCGCAACGGTCGGCGGCGCTTGGGCCGGCCGCGTTGCAGCAGTTTCTGCCGACGTGGACTGGCCTCGTCGCGGAAGCTGCGTGGCTTCGCGGCGCGAGTTCTTCAGCGGGACGGGGGCAGAGTGGGTATAACGGTGGTGGTGGTGGTGGTGGTGACGGCGACGGGGATGATCGTGCCAACATCGCCCAGCAAAATCGAATCATCGGCGAGCTAGGCACTGCGGAAACAACCACCCGTAAACACAATGATTGGCGAACTCCGAAAGCTCCCCTGCCGTTGCTTGATCCGAGCGTCGAGAGGTGCCTGATGGGATGGCTCAGGTCCAGAATCGACAGGTAGGTGCGGCTTGATTTTCGTTGCTCTGAAGCCGTCGTTGTTTCTCACCCTATGCCCCGCCCGATGTATGGCTGGGCTCGCCTTGAGATGCCCGGGTCCTCCGCTACGCTGTAGACTGCACGCTCCCAAAGGTTCGGAAGCCATTGGCGCGTTGTAGACTTCTTCCCCCGCTCTGGCGTACGAGCAATCGTCTCGGCGAGAGGTGCCAACCCGCAAAGCGTCCATCCAGGCGTCTCACATCACCAGCATCAGTTGTTTTGGTTCTCATTCCTCCAACTCCTTTTTCTAGGACAGACCAACCGAGAGGTACGCCGTGATACATCCTGTGGCACACGAGCACACGATCTTATCGTCAGCACCCGGACCGACACAACCAGGCCCCGCGATCCCGCGCACTCAAGTCTTACCGGAAAATGGGGGATGTGGCCGTTGTAGCTAGTGTCGAGGCAAACAGTGGTTCGTCGACGATGACGTCACTCCCTACCCGCGCTCTCGTTTCGCTTCGCCGCGTTCAACCAGAAACGGGGCTGTGGCCGGCGGTTCCACCGGAGAGAAAGCACCCCAGCCACAAGCCGTCCGGGATGGCGGCAACAACGCTCCCCCTGACGACCGAAGCTGTTGCAGCAGCAGCAGCAGCAGCAGCAGTCCGCCAACCAAAACCACACTACAACAACCACAAGATCAACATCGCCACCATCAATGGCTGCACCCGCAGCAGCAGCAGCAGCAGCAGCAGCAGCAGCAGCAGCGACAATACCGCACACATCATCAGCGCTTGGCACGAAGAAGGAGAACCGCGGAGCGCGACGATAGCGCAGTTTTCGGCCAGAAGCGCAACGGCGACGATGTCGAGGGCACAGCGGGCGGAGGGGTCCCCGCGTCGTGCGGAATCGCGACCACGGAGGAGAGACTCTACGAGCTGTTCGAGGACGCCCTGAAGAGCCTCGTGGAAGAGGGAAAAGCGGCATCGGCGCCTGGTGAAACCGTTGGGGGGCGACGCACACGGGACAGCAGCAGCAGCGCAGCGACCCGTGTGGGGTGGGTGGAAGTCGTGCGCAGGGTCTCGTCGTTGTCGGTGAGTGGCGCGGAATACCGGATCGAAGTCGCACGCCTAGCGGTTGCCCGCAGAAACCGTTGCGTTTTACATTGGAAGGGCTTGTGTTTTCACAATCGTACGATTCGACATTTCAACCCCATCAGCAGAAACACAGACACAAAAAGAGCGTACAAGAATCGAACGAATTCAATGTTCGTGAGTTTTTGCAATACGTTGCCCCCGTTGCCCCGTGAAACTTGTCCAGGAGCATACCCGAGTAGATGCCACCGTCGCGGAGGAGCAGCAGCAGCCCCGACCGCATGACAGTGCACCAGCGACGTCTGTCTTCCGTCCACGGGAAGGACAAGAAGAGTTGCGCCGACAACCTCGTGATAACGGCCATCCCGCCCAGCAAACAGACAAAAACACCGATGCTGGCGTCGGGCCAGACCAACGGAAGGGTGCCGGACGCAGCAGCGCCAGCAGCAGCAGCAGAAGCTCCACGGTCTGCGCGGTCAACAAATGCCCGCCCCCCATCAGCATCCAGCCCTACCGCCGGTTGTCTCCGCCCCCGCGGCTACCGCCGCTGAACAGTCGGTCGCCGTCGCCGCCTCTATCGCCACCGCCGAAGGTCTTAACCCCATCGCCGCTGGTGGCGGCGGGGCTCGTCCGTCCCTCCTCCTCTCCCCGGCAGCGGCGCGCGGCAACGACGGCGTCACCAACAACAATCACGCCAGCAGAAGCGGCGACGGCGTCGCCTAATTCTCCGCGATCTCCGACCTCCCCACGAGCGTCGCTCTGGCTGGCGGGCAACGGCGGCGGCGGCGGCGGCGGTGGCGGTAGCCGTGGCCACCGATCGCCGAGGAGCGCTGCCAACGAAACCGGCCGGGTCTCGGGGGGCTCCGTCATTGGCAGTGGGATGGGAGGAAGGGGGGTCAATGGGATTCGGGGCGGCGCGATCGGGGCCACGACCGGTGGCATCGGCCCGAGCCTAACGTCGGCGTCTCTCTTCTCCACGGCGGAAAACAATACAACGGGGGCGGGAGAAGTTGGCGAGGAGGAGTCAAGGCCGCCGGTTGCGGCTGGTTGCGTGGGCGTGTCAATATCACCCCCGTTTGCGTCACGTAGTTGTATCGACGTGGCTCGAGGTGCACGTGAGGACGACACAGTAGAGGAGGAGGAGGAGCAGGAGGAAGGGGAGGGGGAAGGCGGCGGCGGGGTGTTGGTTCTCGAGGAGTACGAGAGTGATTTTGAAGCGGAAGAGGAGTAGGACTAGCCCGACCGCCGTGACTGATTAAGGTGCAGTTATTCTCACGTTTTTTGGGCGATCGTTGTGCAAGCGACGGCCATCAATCGTGAAACAATATCTCGATCCCCAGCGGCCGCAAAGAAAATCAGAAGGAAATGGTGTGGTCACTGCACTTAACCGAATCGGAGAACGCGGTCTGACGCGGCGCACGATACACATATTGTGTCAGCATGGAGTATGTGTGTGCGGCTGTTTTCTCCGTTCTTTGTTCGCGAATTGACCTCCTACGACATCACGAAGCCCAGAGTTCGCGGAAAATGAAATATGCTGGCAGCGCAGCTTGGCTCAGGCAACCGTGCTACATATGTAGTCCTCGAGGAGAGTGTCGTTCTCTCTGTTAAGGTGGTGTGTATATGTTGTTGTCATGATGCGAGACGGGGCGTAACGACGACGGTTTCGTCATGAAGGAAGTGGCACGCAAAAAGAGGCGGACAACAACGTGGGTGGCGTAGTCTACTCAATCTGATGTCGAGAGCACAGACGAGATGAAGCTTTGCATACACAAACCACGGAGTCCAGAGTACGCTCGACAGACGCTGCCGAATTAGTGCCCCAAAGCTCAAAAACGTACCATCAGTATTAAAAAAGGCAACCAAACAATATGCCGCCAAACGTTTTACGGACGATGTGCTGCTCACCGAATACCCACGAATGCCAAAAAAAACAAAAAAAAATGAAGGTTCGCATGGGAGGGTGGGTGCCTGCCAATCCTGGGGCATGCTGCATCCCCAGAAAGATAAATCTCCTGCGGGAGCGGCTACCCTACCGCTAGAAGAAAGAAAAAATGATTTCAAAAACCCTGTACGGATGCTACGAAAGACTTGGGTTTCCCCAAGGAGCAACCTGGGTTTTCCCCACGGAGCAACCCAGGTGTACACCAGCAATGATGTCCTGTCACCGAGCATGTTCTAACGCCCTTGACGCTGTGACAAGGGCGCACCTATGTTGCAACGAGTCACTCTTGACCGGTGTCGGTCGCCCAACACAGGCACAGCAACATACCTTTTACAGTTTGCGCGCAAACTTACGGCAACATTAGCAGAACCTAATATCGACTACCAAGTTTACATGGCGGTGTTTTTTTACCTGGAGCGCGCGTTTTTACCTGGAGCGCGCGAATCCTAATGTGCCGGGCTTAACAGTGTACAAAGGATTTTCAACGCGTGCGTTTATCATCGAGGCAGACCTTCTTCCGCTCATGCTAGCGCTGAAACTTCTACGTTCCTAAGGGTGGCAGGGCCTTACCAACGCAGGCCTAGATTACAGAAGCCTACAGTTACAACGCCGATCTAATTGTGGCAAAGCGCATGGGGACAGATCGCAAAAATCACGTGCTAGCGTACGGCGTGATCAATCTACGGTGGTATCAAGCCCAAAAACGTGCCCCCCATGGCAGTGTCGTTCGACGTAACTTCGACAGGACACGCACGCGGCGCGTCTTTGCCGAAATAGACGTGAGTTGTGTGCACGTGTGGCGTATGCAGCGCACAACGTGCCGTGTCTCTGTCTGCGAGTCCAATATCTTACCCCCAACGAAAGCCTTCCGTGAAGGGTCCGAAGACACCCACGAGAGTAGGTCCGCCTGCCTGCCCCCCTCCCCCCCCCTCGCCGCCGCACCGCGTGGCTCCCATCGACACAGCCAATACCAACACTGCTACCGGCACCAATATCAACACCTCCACCCTCGCGTTTGGCTGTCCTGTAGTTTCCACCCAGCATCGCCGCCACCTTTGTCCCCGGTAGAAAATATCAAACTAGACCTCTTCGAACGCGGCACATGGCGCTACGCTCGCTTTGACCGCTCTACAGCTCTCATCGCCACGGGTGCCTGGTATTCTCTGGTGCTGCGGAAGCCGACGCTTAAGGCCGACGCTGAGGTTGCGGCTTTATTCCGTGGTCGAAGAACCAGCCGAGGGGGAAGGGGGCGAGGAAGCTCCGGCGGCAGTAGTGGTGGTTAGCCGTTTCGGAGTTGGGGGATTTCCCTCCACGTCGATGCCGTCGCCGTCCTTGTCGTCATCGCCGTCTGTGTCGTCCTTGTTGGTGTTGATGTTGTTGTTGTTGTTGTTGTTGTTGTTGTTGTTGTTGTTGTTGTTGTTGTTGTTGTTGTTGCTGTTGCTGTTGTCGTCGCTGTCGTCGTCGTTGATCCTGTCGTTGCTATCGTTACCGTCCTTGTTTTCGTCGTCGCCGTCACGGTTGCTGCGTTTCTTCTTGCCATCGATGGTTGTCACGAGGCCCTTCTTCTTCCCGTCGTCGTTGTCGTTGCTTCTCCTCCTTCTGCTGCTGCCACTGCCACTGCCACTGCCACCGCCGCCGCCTCCGCCGCTGCTGCTGCTGCTGCTGCTGCTACCGTCACTTGAACCCACACCGCGCCCACCCACGCCAACGTCACCGCTGGTGCTGCCGCCGGTGCCACCGGCAGCGCCACCTTTTTCGCGAGCAATCTCTGCCGTGTTGTTCTCCGCCGTCTTCTTCTTCGAGTCCGGCGGACCGAGCCGCGGAGGCTGCTGCTGCCTCGACACCGCGCGCGACACGCAGATAATGCACTGGTCCCCGGTGCGGATGGAGGTTTCCACGGGAAGGGGGTCGCCCTGCGGTCGTACCATGCGGTAAGAGACGATGCTGTCGCTAGCTCGCGTGAAGATTACCTGCGGGGTGGAGGAGTGCCGGCGGAGAGTTAGCAAAAACGTGGGCAACGCGCACGCAGAGGCAGCACGCGGCCAACTGTGAAATCGCCAGTAGTAGGGGACACGCGCCGCCTACGCCATGGGCGAGCACAAACCAACCCGGTGTCCGAGAGAAGACGAATGGGCTCGTTTTAGGTTTCATGCGCTGCGAGGTGACGTTGTGGTGACCGTTTTCGCGACGAAAAGCAAGCGCTTGTGAGGGCGGGTAGATGCTTGAGAACAGACGAGAGTGAGCAGGCACGGCGCACGACACGATATTGTCGCGAGAGACAAGCGAACCAATACTGGCAGAGCGGGGCGTCAAGAAGGGAAGACCCCTGAAAGAGGACGAGGAGTCAGAATGGCTCAACACACAGGTACAAGCACCGCCCGTGTCTCGCGTTATCGTTACCTTTAGCAGCGCTTCCTGTACGACGACATGATCCTCCGTCACGACGAGGTCGGTCAAGCCCCTACCCAGTACGCCCCTGGGGTTAATGCCGGCTACCCTCTGGAAGGCGCTGGAAGCGTACCGGAACTGAGCTTGGTGATCTAGGCCGTGGATCGACATCATGTCGGGGCCCTCTTCCACCAAGAGACGGAACACCTGTTGGTTTGGAAAGAAATAAGATAGAAGAAGAAGCTTCAAAACACAGACAGGTGCTTACAACGAGCTAGAGCGTCCCCAAGACTTGGTAGTGGAGCGTGTGGCGGCGAGGGAGAGAACCAGGGCGTGGATGGACATCGTGTCGGCGCCCTCTCATTAGGACGCTGTTAAGTGCTGCGCTGCTTGTTGTTCTTTTTCTTTTGCGGGTATTTTGGGACGACCAGAAGATAATGTTGCACCAATCCATTCGCTATCGAGTTTTGTTGTGACTGCTGTTGTCACAATATCAGACCGCAGAAGCACACGGCACTTCCCAGAACTACCCGGCTGTCCAAAAACCAGACACTCTACGCGGCTAAAGTACTACTTGCGAGGCGCAGACTGCCGTAGAAGTCGCACGAACAGTCCTGCGATAACGCTGGACAACCTTCTACAGGTTCTGCATGAATGGGGGTCACGAATATTTCCCATGCGCTCGCCGCCTGACCGACCTGAAGGCTCTCGATCTCATGCTTGAGGGACTCCTCCTCCCCTTTACGGCGTATCCGGGCTTTCTTCGAGCTTTGCTTGTTCTGCTCCCGACTCCTCTCTAGGCGGATTTCAGCGCTCATGCCGGAATCACCCTGTTTTCGGTCACTGCCACCGGCCGTGCCCCCGCCCCCGTCAACTAGCCCGCGATGATGTTGGTGCTCCGATTCTTCAGCGATGCCGTTGTCGTTGCCATCGGTCAGGCTAGAGGACCTCCCCCTCCCCGCACGGCGGCGACGCTTTGCTTTCGTGGTTCTGGCCGTCGCTGCTGGCTCCATCATCGTCGTCGTTGCGAGGCCAGCCGCTTGTCCCGATGATTGTTCTTGTTGTTGCCCTTGCTTTTGTAGCGGGTGCTTGGTCCTGCCCGTCGCGGCTGCCTTGGGACGTCCATCAATCGGCCCTATCCTGCCGTTGCTGCTGCTGCTGCTGCTACTGCTGATGTTGCAACTGCTGCAGCTGCTTTTTCTGTTGTTTTGACTGAAGAATGGTGGTGGTGGCGGCGGTTGTTGTTGCTGCTGTCGGTGCTCATGCTCATGGTGGTAAGCCGGTTGGGGAATTATACAGTAGGCTGCCCCGGCATGATGACCGCCGCCGCCTCCGTCTCCGGGTCTTCTGGTAATAACACTACGGTTGTTGCTGTGGCCAGTGCCGTTGGTTGGCCGACTGCTATAGGTACATGTGCGGAAACTAGTGCTGTGGGTACGTGGCGCCCCTGCTACTCCTGGCTGTTGTTGGCGGCCTTCTCGGTGGTTGTGGTGAGCGTTCGGCAACTTGGGCTGACCCACCAACCCCCTCAAGCTAAGGTTCGCCGCTGCCGACCTCGCCGTCGAACCCTCTGTCCCAGCAGACAGTGCCTGCTGCCGTTGACGAAACACGGACGCGGCATGACCCGCTTGCACGCTTCTTGCGGCCTGGGCGGCGAAGGCAGTGAAAGCAGCGTGCGCCGCGACATGGTTCCGCAGGGCAGCGGCTGCGGCGGTCGCAGCAATGCCGGCAGCTGCTCCGGGTTGCAACTGAACTTTCGAGGCCGAATCATACGAAGGGAACCCTAGCATACCTTGCCCTGTCGCACTTCCGGCGTGTTGAGCCGAAAGTCCAGCACGTGAGGCGGCGGGTGTCGTGTTGTTGCTTTTGGGTGCAGCGCGATCGCTCCTCCGAGGAGGAGGGCCTTTCGAGACTTGATGTCTAGCAGCTGGAACGATTGCCCCCAACGGTTGCTTTTTCGTCGCGCTGTTGTGGATGGTAGACATGATGCCGTCCTTTCTCTCTCCCAGGAAATATATGAAAGATATGAGCCCCCTGCCCCCCGCCGTTGGTGGTTGGCGACAGGATCCTGCAGGAGATCTCTTTCAGAGCGATCTTGCTCCTCGTCGAAAGAGATGCCGTCGGTGGCGTTGGGCCAGACCGGTCGGTCCAAGTGAAGACCCGACAGACTCTGATGTCTGTGGTGTGAAATATCCCGAGAGTGTTGAACTGCTGTCTGTCCCTTACTCTCCCGGCGTTTAGAACAGTTGCGCTCACCACGGTCACCACGGTATGATCACGTACGTGACCAGGTAAGATGCATTGTAGCTTGTCGGTGCGACCCGATCTGTTGAACCCAAAAATAGCGACCACCCTGTAGGTTGAGAGTCGCCGAGCGCATTCCCCAGAAATCACTGGTATAACGTGAGCGATCGGGCCAACTGACGTGATACCTCAAGCACGCGATCGATGTGATGTGACGTGAGAATCGTGTTCGGTGTCCGTTCTCGTCGCGCCGTGTCGTGTGTAGTCGTGAGATCGCGTGTCTGTGCGTGTTCGTTCTGCGATAAATGATTTGCCGTTTCATTTCTATGTGTAATTCCGCCGCATCGCGATTCCGCCGCATCGCGAGCGAGGCTCACGGCTCACGGCTCACGGCTCACACAACATGGGCACCACACCGCCTTGTACATCGGGGACCTCTCTTGGGTTCCCTACGAAGATGGCCCCCTCCCTGAGAAAGCGGTAGACATAACAACAAGACGCGGTACGATACGATATACCGCGTGTCCATGATGCCTGCCGCTTTCAGGGAGGGGGGCACTTTGTATGTACAAAGTCTATGTGTTTTTTATGTAGCCAAACGAAAAAGAAAACAGCTACAAAGTACTGCTGTAGTAGGTTAACCGGGATACAGACGACCGACCCCGGGTCAAAAAGGATGAAAGAACCAAACAAGTCGAAGAAAGACAAAGAAAGAGAGAAAGACACAGGAAACTAAAGAAAAAAAAGAAAAAAGAAAGGAAGACAGATCGGTCCAACGCTCCATCCAGTCCATCCACCTGAACAACGAAAGATGCAACTGCAACCGCGACACCAAACAGGTGAATGACTTACGACGACAACAACATCAGTTCGGAGATGCCTCCCCTGTGGGTAACGAAAACAGGCTCGACAAAGAAGACAGTTCGCGGCGGCCATCTTGTTTATCTTCTTCGCAATAAAAATAAAATTGTCGTGAAATCCCGAACAAAGAACCGAAGAGCATCTACTCACGCACAACATCATCAGCAACACTGCACACGCACACACCGTAGCGCAAGCAAGTGAAGTCGGTCAGAGGCCAACCCAGGATCGCCCATGATGCTATGATGGAAGAACTATGTAAATGATGCAGGCAGCAATTAATTCTGCCTTGTTAGTTGGGGCCTCGGCGTTGTACTTCGAATGTGGTACGTGCTACTTTACAGAGGCAGGACGCTCTTTTATCGTCCAGCTCCTCCTTGCGCCCCGCCTGTCGGTAGAATGACCCCTTGATAGTTGGTCAGAAATCGTGTTGATTGTGATTGTTATCCCGCTGTAAGACAGGCGTAGTGTTTTCGGTACCACGACAATACGGAAGAGCCCAACGCCGGAAAGGTCCGGGAGCTTTGCGACGGATTGTTGTTCGGATGTATTTTTTTCCATGGCGCCACGACTGACTTTCGAGCGATCGCCGTGTCTTCGGATTTCTCCGGAGTGAAAAAATCTCGTGACTTCCCAAGAGAAATCGGCACAGTCGGACGTGCTTATGCGCAACAAGCAGGGAAAGGGGCTGACTGCTGAGTCCTCTTCTCGGTCGCGTTGAAAAAATCAAGCGAGGCAACGAAGAAGTAGGAAACGGAAAGCAGAAAAAAAAATGAGACACCGTAACGAGACGAAAAATCTGTCAGCGGCGTGCGTGCTATTTTGTATCCTTTCTCCGATTCTCCATGGGGAAAAAAAAGTGAGTATCGTACCACCGAGAAAATCGCTTAAGTAGCGTGTGCGACTTACCCTACCCTACGAGGGCACACAGACTCTTCATACTACAGGCTATGAGTGAAACCCACGTCGGCCGGTCCGTCCGCGCACGAAAACAGGACAACAAAAACAACTGGTAGCGCATCGCGGCGGCACTGACTTCCTGAGCAAAGGGGCACACCTCCTCCCTGTCCCCTATCCCCTGGCAAATCGCCGTCTTCAACACCTGTACGCTCATAGTGCTGAGCTAAGCAAGGAAACGAGTTCAAGCGAGACCCTCCCCCCCCCCACCCCCCCCCTCTAATGGACCATATGTAAGCTAGTATGATGCCAATCAAATGCCACTCGAGCTAAACTATCTTGCTGTCGGGGTCCCTTAATACACGTGCACGCGGGCGGCAGGCCGAGACCAAAATGGCCATCCCCTCGCCCTCTCACCATGCTGACTGAGCCAAACAAACGATCTCTGTCCCTCACCGTGGCTCTTCTTCTTGAAATGTCTCGCAACTGAACATACATCCCCCTGGAGGTGCCTATGAACAACTCCAAGAAAGACTAGCAACCGCGAGACCTTCATTCTCCACGGTTTCGGAGATTTTCGGAGATCTCTCATTGAAAAAATCGATATAAACTAGTCCCCGCGCGTTGCGATAGGCAAGGCGGGGGGGTACAATAAAATTTCGTCGTTCACCCTCGGACATACCCTTATTGCCGTCTGGCTTGCTCCGCGGAACTTTGATACGACCCTGCGTGTGCAGCGACAAAGCCTGTACCTTTTATACGCCCAAGATCCGAGCAACAAATGCCTGAGCGAAACGAGATTAACTTTCGCCATTCCAATCAGCCAGGCAAGACCTAAAACATTTGTTTTTGCCGTCACCGGCTACCACCGGCTGTGACCTAGGGTGCGACAAAAACGTCAAAATCGAGCGCTATTAAACTGGAACACGCGCGCGCGAGAGAGAAGACAAACGAAACCGACCCTCGGCAACAAATCGACCCCTCTACACACAACCAACACCCGACGCGTGTCGTGCCCCCGACTCCGCGCAAAGATCCGACGTAGGCGGCGGACGCACCGGAGGCAGGAAACGAATGCACTCTGCGCCTGCAACTCCGTGAACCCAGCAGCATCCTCGGGGACTCAGACACAAGCATGCAGACGGGACACAGCAGTACCCCGATGGGGACGTATCACCCCGAAGAGGAACACCTCACCCCGATGGTGACGTATTAACCCGAAGAGGAACAAATTACCCCGATGGGAAGAAAATACCCAAAGCCCCTCTGTCTCCTTCAGCAGTGGCGTCGGGCTAAAACGTAACGCTTGGATCCTGGCAAACTAACGTTTGGATCTGGCGACTTAACGCTTGGATCTGGCACGCGGGGGGACCTTGTCGAGAGCGCCGTGCACCGCGAACGTGCGTCGCGCGGTGAGATACGCCAGCGCAGCCACCGCCGCCCCGACGTAGTAGCTGGCTCCTTCGATCTGCGGGAGAGAGAGAGGGAGAAAGAGAGAGAGAGAGAGAGAGAGAGAGAGACAGACAGACAGAGAGAGAGGGAGAGAGAGGGCGAGCAAGAGAGGCAAGAGAGAGAGACAGACAGACAGACAGAGAGAAAGACTGAGAGAGAGAGATCATGAACTACAACATCTGCCGCAAGTATTCATTCTACCTCACCGAGACTGGTCAAGTTCTTCGGTACCACATCGTGTGCATTCATACCGACCGCTTCATCAAAAATAGCTCTTCTCGACAAACTCCCTCCCTCCCACCTTTCGGGGGTAGGCGTTGTCGCTGATGAAGTAACCGAAGATCCACGCCATCGCGGGCCCGAACAGGACGCTGCAGACGGTCTTAGCTGTGTCGGTAGTGCCCTGCAGCGCTCCGACTTCCCCGTCCCCGACCTTTGGCGGTACGGGAAAAGGCAAGGCAGCGGTACGGTAACAGAAGGCACCAGCAGAGATTTTACCAAAATATGGCTTCAAAAACTCTGCTTGAAAAATCTCCTGAAAAATTAAGGGAAAACACGGCGTACAAACTCTCTTGAAAGACTAACGCAAAAACTGCTTGAAAAACTCTCTTGCCAGAAAAAATGCAAAAACTGGTTGAAAATTCTCTTGGGACGTTTCTCAAGTAAAGTGTTCGCAAGCACCAACGAGCCTTTCGAGACAGCAACGGCAACGGCCGACAGCAACAAACTCCGTGCAGGGCTTGGCCTGCGCATAGACAACGTTATTTAAGCTAACCAAAAACGTCTACTCCCCCCGAGGTCGATGTTCCCATTCACCGATTGCATGTTGAAGACCCTCAACCGCGTGCAGCAATCGGAGTGAGGACATACCCATCAACAGAAACGCCCTTGTGAGGGGGGCGGCGGGGAGCTGTGGGAGCGTATTCGCCATGTCGGACAAAAACGGGGTGTATGATGATTTCGTGAATTTCTACACCTGGCTACACACGCAGACAGCGATGAGCTTGGACGGACCACGAGCGCTAACTCCCTAGCAAGCAAAGAGGAAACAAAAAAAATCACAAGCCACGGAGCCCGGACAAGATCCAGCCCGAGCGGTCTGGCAAAAAAAAAAAAAAAAACACACACACACATATGGTGAAAAATATGCACTTGCCCGCCCCCCCCCCCCCCCCCCCCCCCC